TCATTCATAAAAGTATTATAGTCTACTGTGTGAGTGGTAGTAGTACTCAATGGATGAATGAACTAACTGTTGTAACTTCTTGAAAGGTTCGATTCAAGCTTCAAGTGACATTCTTCTGCAGAAGTGTGCTCTCGAAGTCTATAGAAGCTTTTATCCTTCAGCTAAATCATCGTGCAATCATCATCAATTAATTTCGGACAAATTTTATAGTTTTTTTTTACGAAAAACCTATATTTTAAAATATGCATTATTTTTTTTAAACAGTAAACCTATATTTCAGAATACGTGATTTCGTAGCAATACGTTATTTTTATAAAATTTAATCTAAAAATAAAAAAAAGGTGATAAACATTGGTTAAAAATATTATGCATTAGAAAAGTATGGAATATAGTTAGACAGGACTATTTCTTGAGATAGTAATTTTGAAATTAAATTTACAGTAGGAGCTATTTTCGAAAACGATAATATTTTAAAGACTTTAGTGCTTTAATGTTTTCAGTATGCATTGTATTTAAAAAATATATAGTCATAAAATAGGAATGATTAGAATTAGTAGTTTTAATTCTATGAGAAACCTGGGTATTTGCATTTTTCTGTTATTTGTTAATAACAGAAAAATTATCAAATTATTATAAAAAATATGTAGCACAACTACGTTTATACCACAAGATACAATACTGGATAAACTTTAAGAAGTTATATATAAAAATACAGTATAACAGGTGTTATAGTACAATGTAAATAATAAATGAATTTAAAAAAATTGTTGATCATATACAATTACTATAGTCATAGATAATATTGATCATATACAATTACAGTAGTCCATTCTATGGGTTTTCTCCTTGTTATCTGGTTTGAAAGTTCATCCAAATTGAAGCTCTACAAAAATATGATTTTCTCCAATAATTCATAATCCCATCCAAAGGTACCCTCCTCGAAAATTCTAAACCCAATAAAAATGTGCTCCCTCGTTCAAGCATTTTGATTGATCATCTTTCCCTATGTAATCCCATTCTTGGCACTCCAGAGGTATAATCCTGATATTTATATTAGAGATAGTCAATATATATATATATATATATATATATATATATATATATATATATATATATATATATATATTTCTTTTATTAACTTTGTTTTTATTTTTTGTACTTATCTTACCTATCTAACAATATGAACTTTCATATAACAAACTTAATATTTCTGTATTAGAAGGAACGATCATGGAAACAATGCTCTTTGTCCTAATATTATATAGAATCAGGGGTAAACACCCCCCCTCCCAAGGTCGATGGTGCATTATCTTCCTCCTCCTCTCTCAAGATATTTCATTGCTTTCCTATTCTTAATAACAGTGCAAGCTAAAGCAGAATTTTAAAAATCATAGATCATATACAATTACAATTTCAGTGATCTGTTCTATGCTTTCCTTTTTTCCCTTGGTTTAAAACTATTCATTGCCCCATGAAACAAACCTCCTTCCGGGTACCCCTGTATAGAAATATTTGAGAATCCGAGGAGTTTGCCAGGTGAATCAGTATCGGTTTTGTTTATCTTCTGGTTGTCACAACTGATGTAGACATCGGAGTCACTCGACACTTCCTTCGCAGAGGAGGGTATTAAGATGTATCTACAGCTTTCTCTGGCATAGATGCTATTGTAAAAGAAGATAGAAAAAAAGGATGTGAAAAGGAATGGAAGAGATGGAACGAAAGCTCGGAAAAGTGCGACAAAGAACTCTCCTAATCCCTCCTTCCTTAACGATAAGGGACCTTTGATGGCACGTACAGTAACTCCCCCTTAACAGGACACCAGCCCACTCGAGGATCCTCTTACACCAGGATAAACAGATCGTCATCTTACACTAGGAGATCGCTACAGATAATCGTTAGCTTTTGTGGGGTGATGCACGTCTTGTTACACATTAAACTTTACAGCTGCACAATTTTGGTACATATAATTATCAACACCAGAGGAATATGCAATTAGTTAAATGGATGTTATTTGGTGGGTTATGTTCATGTTTTAGGCGCAAAACATCTTGGTCATCAGATCGGGCTTAGTTAGGTTTCTTCGATCTAAAAAAATGCAGTAATATCTCTATAGTAATAAGATAATAAGTAACTGCAAGACTGTTGCGAGACTCATGCGCAAGACCAAGACTGAGTTTGCAAGACCAAGACACGTCTCGGTCTCGCATTTTGGCGACACTAACTAATTGTGAATTTCCCTGGTAAATATAATTAAGACATTTACTTCAAGCTTATCAGCATGTTATTATATTTTCTATAATAAAATATTGCTACAATATTTTCGAAGTAGTAGCTTCATTGTTGCCACTGATTTTTAAACCAATAGCTAAATAGATGAAACATTTTTCTATAGGTGATAAACCACTGTAATTTCCAATGGAATATTTTGCAATAATAAATTATTTTTTTTTTTATTTTTTGGGACAGAGGGAGGTTTGGAGATTCCAGCTCGAAAGCACCCTTAAATCCGATAGACTATTCCAAAATTACAAGACTGCACATTTTTGGTACATATAATTATTAACACCAGAGGAATATGCAATTAGTTAAATGGATGTTATTTGGTGGGTTATTTTCATGTTTTAGGCGCAAAACATCTTGGTCATCAGAGCCCGATCAATAAAAAAATACAACAAAAATTACTTTATAGAATACTCTATTTCAATTTATGAAATATTTAAGTGGTAGGTTATAAAATTAAATAAATAAATTTTAAAAGCCTTATGTCCACTGTGAGGTGTGGGCTTACATAGTATTATGCTATTTGAGATTAAAAGTACTGTATTATTTTAATGCTTTTTTTTTTAAATTTATTTATTGAAAAATATTACAATCTGTCTCAAGGACATTTATAATAGTGTTCAGAGTTCACATTCACATTCTATGTACAATAAATAAAATAAATTATTTAAAAAAATAATATATATACAATAGATGAGAATAAAATAACCTAATAATAAATAAATAAAAAGAACACATACATACCTATATACACTAGGTGTGATTAATTGTAATTTTGTTTTTCGGCTTTTAGAAGTTCGAAACGTCATTTGATAAACAGTCATAAAAACGTTTGTCCATGGGGAACCATTTACAAACAAAATGTAGTTCACTAATGACGTTTCACCCATATATTTACGCAAGTTTCCGACAAGTTGGAGAAGAATTTTCTCCTTTATCGACTTCCCAAAGCATAACATGACGTAAGGGGTTCTCGGAGATTTAAGTTGAAATTTCGGCACAGAATAACTAAATTGCTCCAACCAAAACATGATAAATAGAAGATTATGTTACACTATAATAAAAAAAATGTGCAAACACTATTCAATTGTAAAAGAATTATTAATAATGTCTACATAAAAAGACAGAACCTTAAAAATCTACATTACTTATGGGATGACCTGATAAATTAAACATATAAATTTAAAAAAAAATGCAATTATTATATCTCTTATATTAAATGTGCCCCAAATAGATATAATAAAACATATTAATTTATCGGGTTTATTTCTATTGTTCCACTACGCTCTGTGATATCACTAAATTGTTTAATTTACGGCTGTAGAATGGGAATTATTGAAATATGCGGGTAGGTTATTTTATGGTGAGCTGCTTATCTATGTAGGAATTTTAGTATGAGCAAGTTCCTAAACTAAATTTGATGGATATCAGATGTTTATCAATGATCTTAACGTGGAATTCAACTTGTCCAACTTTTACATCGATGAATTTAGGAATGTACTGGTGGATTTTCGATGATCATCAATGATTTAAGGAACTTGCCATAATACTGCAAGTAATTTCATTGTAATTATTGGATTATTATTAGATTTGAAATCAAATGTCGTGTGTGTGTTCTCAAATGCTAGTTAAATTAAAATCTATTGAAAAATTCAAATCTAAGAGTTTCTCTAATTCACATTTATTAAAAATTAATCGCCATTGATTGTATATTCTATTGTGGATACGACAAACACCTCAAATCTAGCTCTCCAAGATTTTTTATTTCATTTTACACATTACAACAGATGATTTGTAAATATTTAGAAGAAGATTGTTTTGATTTCTATTTCAACGAATTTTATATAAAAGCCACTTATAACAAGGGTTTGAAATAGATTATTAAAAAATTAAAATAAATAAAAGTCATATAAAAAACAAATTTAAAAGAATGTTGTTTTCAACAATTAGCAGCAGAACATCATTATTTCCGAAATTCAGTAGAAATGTTGGCTTACAAAAAAAAAATAAATATTTATATATTATATTAACCAGCTTTTTATTATTTTGTAATTTAATGTTTTCTTAATCAAGTTATTTTAGTAATGCAGTTAATAATTTATTTTATCATTATTATGGCAGATAAAAATCTCTTTTTTATGTCACCTTTGGTGTGATTTTTTTAAACTTATTTATTCAAAAATATTACAATCTGTCTCAAAGGACATTTATAATAGTGTTCAGAGATCACATTCACACTTTATGTACAACAAATAAAATAAATTATACGGGAAAAAATATATATACAATAAATAAGAATAAAATAACCTAAAAATAAATAAATAAAAAGAACACATACATGCCTATATACACTAGGTGTGATTAATTGTAAATTTTGTTTTTCGGCTTTTAAAAGTTCGAAATTTTATTTGATAAACAGTCATAAAAACGTTTGTCTATGGGGAACCATTTACAAACAAAATGTAAAAGAAGTTCATTAAGGTATTTCCTATTGAGTTTTTATTTAAATAAAGTAAACGTGAAAAAAACATTTTTTTTAAATATTATAAAAAAGAAAATCAACATTGTTTCATTATACAGCATCAATGTGTGTGTATTCATTGTATTTCCGGATTTAAATGTAAATGAAAAAATATTATATTACTTTTAATTGTTATTGCTACTGTGAGTATTTCTTGCACAATAGCAAATCTCATGTTTATGCCAATGAAATGTTAACCATGTCATCTTTTACAGTTCCAGAACCACCATTTGTGGCAGCAGCTTCTGGCGGCGGTGGTAAAAGAGCCAGACTTTCTGAAGAAGAATCCACAGAAGAGACACAAACCCCACAGCCTATCATGCCACCCAAGGTAAAATCTATAACATCATATGCATTACAATAACAAAATTTATATATCATATTCTATAATAAATTCCAGCTTTCTCTGACGAAGTATGGTATCATTCACGTACTTCTGGAGGTTTCATTCTGAAACCCGTAGTCAATTTATCACCTTTCTTCTGCTTTTATTAAAAATATGGCCTAAAAAAATCAATCCTGTTAGATCGTGATAAATCCAGTTCAATCGGCAACCGATTTCTGAAATATTTAAATCTTATAATTATAATGTGATATTAACTAAAATGATAATTATTATTGTTATTTCAGATGAAATTTTCTCTAACTGTTTGAAGTAATATTATTTTTAAATTTAATAACGCTTCTGAATCATTCAATGTATATAAATATAATTTATTCTGCATTCAACACCCGAAATGAAATTTTAACATTTTTTTTTTTTAATCAGTTTTGGAATGACTAGAATTCTTATTCTTATTTTTATTTGTATTTCGGAAACAGAACTGTTATTTATAATTTTCATTTTTTTTTTTTTTTTGTAACTTTAAGCACATTGACAAAAAAAACATTATTTAAAATATAAAATTTTGTCATGTCAGAATATATATATCTTCACGAAACGGCCTTTTATGACCACATGAATATCATTAATTTTCCTTTCTCGTTTTCGCTCTTCTGTTTTCCCAGTATCTTCTCATCATTTCTGCGTGCCTTTGCTTCCTCCCTTTCATTCACACATTACGCTTCCGCTTTTTTTTTTTTTATCCACAAGTACCTTAATTTATTTTTATTTTATTCCGTATTGCTCACAATCCAGGCAGTCTTTGTCTGTCATTCCTTTCTCATTTGTTTTACTTATCCTCTTATGCTCTTGTATTCACGGATTCTGTCAAAGACTTTCTTGTTTAGTCTCCCTTGGTTCATTCTTATCATGCGTCCGTAGAATCTGAGTCTTCTGATTCTTATTTCGGTTTCTAGGTTCTTAATCTTCCTGTGGATTTTCTGGTGAGGTTATGACAGGTAGCCTGCCTGTGTCTTCTTGGGCCCATTAATTCCCCTCAGAATCCTTCTCTCTTTTATCAGTATTTTTTCTAGCCTAGTGAGAAATGTTGTCTCCATCCCGTACAAAATTACTAATTTTATCACCATGTTGTGTGTTTACGGCCTCTGCGTTATTTATTTTCTAGAACTCTCATGATTTTATCCAGTACTATGTTAAATGATATTGGTGACATGGCGTATCCCTGTCTTAGTCCCGTTTTTTTCTGAAAGGATTTGCTGATTTGTTCTTGGAATGTTATTATTGATTTTGTGTTAGTTGTGGTTAACTTTAATTTAATTTAGTGTCTGAATATTTCATATAATTATATTCCCAAATTTATAAGTGATACAAAATTTCTGTTCTCGATATAATCAGTCTCTAAAGTTTTGTGGAAGGCAGTAACGGATCCAGGTATCAATATTTTTTTTTTTTAATAACGATAATTATTCGGGGAAAAAAATATGGAACAAAATATTTTTTTCCGATTTGGGGGACTTCAGCCCGAAAGTCTTTTCCCTTGTAGATCTTTTAGCAGTTAAAGGAAAAGCTCTAAACGTCATATTCCATGGTTTTCTATTGTTCTCATGGTTCGCATAGCTCATATATCATACTTCAATCTTTTACGTATGGAAAAAAAAAGTTCGCAAGTGCAACACAATAGACAGTTCAAGAATACTTTTAAAGGTCGATTCCATCGCGAAAAAGCAATACTCAACCGATTCATAAAAATATGAGGTACTCGAGAGGTATAATGGAATAGACAGGGGGGAACAATATACATGAAGGGTTTTGGGACCGAGTTTCATTGAGACAGATGAAGGAATCAGCCAACCGCACCGTCGACAGAATAGCCACCGCCCACAACTTTCCCATTGTCATTCGTCCGTTGAATGGCCTTTTCGAAATTTTTATAAATGCACCTATCGCCATCTTTATTCTTGCTGTTTTTTCTTTCTTTCTGTTCTTCTTTTATGTCAGCTATGAGAAAATCTGAGGTCAGGCAAAAAGATCTCGAGTAGTTAAAATTATGGAACCTTTTTGTTTATTTATTTTTTTTTTACTCAGTTACAGTTTGCTGCCATTAATCGAGGATGTACTCGAATAGGGTCGCAGAAAATGTGGTGAGGTAGCGTAGAACTCGAATTGGGTCTCGGGTGGCTTATTTACAAACCCTATAAGTAGTGTTGCCCAAATGCGAGACCGAGGAGAATCTTGATGTTGCAAATTCAGTCTTGGTCTAGTTCTTGGTCTTGCACAAGAGTCTCGCAGTTACCTATTAGTGCAATAATGTAGAGATATTACTATACTTTTTTAAATAGGAGAAACCTAACTAAGCTGGAATGAAATATTAGAAGATTTAAATGTAAAAGTATATTTGAGTTGAGAAGGAATTAGTCGAGGGTGCGGTCAAAAAAATAAAAAAAATTAAAATATATAAATAATTTTATTTTAATTTTTGCCTGATTCGCTATTTATATATTTTAATTTTTTTTATTTTTTTGACCGCACCCTCGACTAATTCCTTCTCATATCATATCAACGGTCAACTATCTCTACATCATTGTAAAAGTATATTGTTCATACCAATTCTTTACATATAATAACTAAAATTGTCAAGTATTAGTAACTATTTTGCCTCAATTTATATTAAAAAAATTGATTCATTTTTACCAGTCTTGGTCTTGGTCTTGCAAAGTGCAAGACCAAGACCGATTTTGGGCAACACTACCTATAAGATTCAGACACCACAGCGCAGCCTTCTAGCTGGCGAACTTACTTAGTTTAAAATTAATCCATAAATATATTAAAAAGTTTTAAATATTCTAAGAGAATAAAATTTGATTAATTCGTGATTTGGACTGAATAAAGTGTTGAATACCGGACTGCGGAAATTCCTAAAATCTAAAATTCAGTTGGATTACCCTCGAAGAAATAGCTCACTACTGCTTATAACTAACTTAATGGCACTAACGGATCCAGGATTTAATTTGGGGGAGGACTTCAGTCCGAAAGTTTTTTTTTTTTATGTATATATTACGATAGTTACTTTCGGAAGAGAGGAAGAAACTAAGCACCTATATGCGATGGTGTTTAAGTGAATCTTTAAATTCTATTAAATGTTATTAGACGAACAATAATACTTTTAAAGATAAATTTTTCATAAAATATGGTTATATTATATTGGTTGGTTATAAATTACCTTTTAATGCTTAGGTTTCTTTTAGGAAAATCAGGATAGGATATGTTTACAAAATATTAATTCATTATTCAATGTCTGAATCAACATTTACTGTTTATTGATTAATTATTCAATGATTTATTTGACTGTAATCTATAGTTGAAATTCACTTGGACCGTGTATGTTTGTGGTTAATTATTTATTATATTTACAAAGTTCACCATAAATAATAGGGTATATAAAAAAAAAATGACCATTTTTCAACCAAATATTTGTATTATTATTTCTTTGATATAAAATACAATTAATACTCAAAGTATAGTCCATTGTTATCAGCCCTCATTAGCCATCTGCTAGAAAATTGCTCGACCCCACGCTGATACCATTCTTTGGGATGGCTGTCAAAGAACTCTTGGACCGCAATTTCAACTTCCGCAAAATTATCAATTTTTTTCTGTTATAGAACATGGGACATGGATCTAAATAAGGTCTTTAAACTTTTCTTTGGTTCGACGGGAAGTGTGAGGGTGAGTATTATCTTGTTGAAATACAATTCCTTTTCGGTTGATCAAAACAGGATAACGCTCTGACAACTTCATTAATCATTCATTATTCATACATTAGTAAGAAATTCGTGATGAATAACACCTTCGAAATTTCAAAAAACGCAAACCATAGATTTTTTTTTCAAATTGTACCCTTACAGCAACCAGGAAAGCAGTTTGACTCATGGGTATTCGGACTTGACCAGTAAACCCACTGTTCATCACAGGTGACAATCTTCTGGTAAAATCAGAAGGGTTTTTCAATATTTTTTTACAAATTTCTAGCCTCTTAGCTGATTGCTGAGGAGTAAGTTCGTGAGGGGCCAAACTACTGCTCTTTTTCACCTTCCCCATGGAGAGTAAATGGTGACTAACAGTATCTTTCGACACACCACACTCTCTGGCAAGTTTTCGAGTACTTGTGGACGGATTTGACTCAACAGCTTCCTCAGCAGAACCTCATCAATATCCACTAATGGTTGCTCGGAGCCCTTCTTCCTTTCCAACGTCGTATCTCCACTGTTAATTTTTTCAAACCAACGCAGCGCAGTGCGCTGGTCAAGGACACCTTCCCCTTTATATTCAATAATTTCAATAAGCTTCAGCGGCTGTGAATTTGTTTTCTCATTAATGTCTTAAAATTACGAGAATTTCATAGGACACTGTTTCTTCTTTGAAATAAATAACTAAACTGAGGGTTTTTTTTAAAGAAGTCGAATGGGATTAAACAAGCTCAGAGAATGCTGTAATGGGATTATTAAGTATTAAATAGGATTAAAGTATTTACAGTCCTTTGAAATTTTGAATTTGATATAACGGTCATTTTTTTTATACAGCCTATTATTAAGTTATTTCACTCCAGCCTTTCTAGTAAGACTGTTGGGCCGGACCCTCGTCAAGTACTAGAAAAACGTTCGAAGCCCGATTGGATCAATCTTTGGAATTTAGGACCCAACTCGAGCTATATATACCTATATTACTAAACTTTTATTTATATAACTACAGTTTTATGTTATTATTATTTTATTTTTTTTAATGGCTATTTCACGGCCTTACAAAATGACAATGTTCTTTTCATCTTTTGCAGGAAGAGAGCAGCGACAGTGATGCCGATTCGGGGCCAGAGAACTTGTCTCTCCGCAAGCCAGACTCTCCTCCACCAGTCGTCCACAGATCTCCCGTGGATGTACTCCTCCGGGTCTTTCCCAACAGGCAGAGATCTGACATTGAGGCAGCCCTCCACAGGGCCAAGGGTGATGTTCTCCAGGCCATCGAGATCATGGTGAGATCCATCATGCCGTCTTATATTCACTAATTTATGATTTTTTAAAAAATATTTTGAGATACGTATATATAAATGCAGAAAAGCCCGAATTTTTCAAACATTTTTTCATGAATAATTAGGGTTAAAGAATATTATTGGGGACGGGGCCATGTCAGACATTTTATCGTTAGATGTTTTTAGAATTGAATACTGGTTACCACTTCAAAACTCCCATTTAAGAAATATCTGTTTTTTGTATTTTTCACTCTGTCGTTTCTAAGTAGAAGTATTCAGTTTAAAGTGTATTTTATAAGCTTTTATGAATGGATGTTCTCAAAATTGAGGTGATGGCGATTATCGTGTGTGGTACACGGCATGCACAGCGGACTTGACCACACCCCCAGTCCACACCATTCCTCCAAGATGCACTGATATTTCAAAATCTCTAGCTAAATATGACCTTTTTTTTATTATTTAAAAAGTGATATCTCAATGTTATATAAAAATAATAATACACTCTTAATTTATTCCGGGTGAATCCTTTATGAACAAAATACATGATCCGACTTTCGAGTTTCATAGTAATGTAAGCATTAACAAAAAAAAAACTATAAACTATATATATATATATATATATATATATATATATATATATATATATATATATATATATATATATATATATATATATATATATATAAATAATAAGAAATTACAGCATAACTTCCAATATTAACAAATAATTTATAAAATTATTAATTATGATTATAAGGGGGAGGGGGGCGCTTTCGGACTGAACCATCCCCAAAATGGTAAAATTTAACCCTGTTTATAGTGAAAAAATATCTCTTAAAGTATTATTGTTCGTGTAATTACATTTAATAGGACTTTTTCTGAAATGTGAGACTGCAGGGATTGGGATGCAACAATTTGGTCATTATTGACAGATAGCACACATGTGTCGTCAGCGTACGTAGTAAGGGATGTGAAGGATTGGTTGGGAAATCAGCTGTATAAACTGTGTAGAGGATTTAAAATGCTCCCTTGAGGAACACCGGTGGGCTGAGAAAAGAGAGATCGCTTAAATAGAATTGGAATTAGGTTACATAAATTAAATTAGGTTTTCTACATACCTTTTTTTTTTTGTTCTTCTCTTCCTTGCCTTTTATGCTGCATGGGATTTTCTCGAAGCAGTGGGCGAGAAACGGGGGATCAATGCCTGTTAAGTTGAAAGCCCACCCATGCACCGGGATGTGAACTCATTGTTATTTCTCTCATCATAACTTCGGTTATAACGTTGTCGAGCAACGCACGGTGCTGCGCACACGCGTTAGCCCACACGGCCACCCCACTCTTAGGTTTTCTGCAGATAATAGAGTTACTGTAACATTTCTTGGGGATCGTATTAGGTAGTCAAACAGAGGGGTTGGATGGATTCTCTTTCACCTCAACCCTACTACGTCCATTTGAGGAGATACTATAAAGTTTGGAATATTAACTTCAAATTTCATTTAATAGCTTTCTTCTGGTATGAATGTAGCTGTTCCATTATGTAACCGTTTGTACTGTTTCAGGTTTGCACGGAGGCAAGAGAAGAGCCACGTTCCGCATTCTCACCGCTAGGTCTGATCAACCGAGGGAGGCGTTTCCTGACGGCCCCGTACAGCGGCACGGGATACCTCCCGACTGTCATCCGTCCGCCTCCAGAGCTCCTCCACCACCCGCTCTACCCTCCAGCACCCTCGCCTGGATCCGCAACTGGTTCCGATAGGACATCATACTCCGAATGACTTCCTATGTATTCCAACTCGCCTCTCATCTGAATTTCCGTTGAGATTGAGTATTTCGGTGACACATTTGGTGCTATACCAGACTCTCCGTTCCCTGATTGACTATAAATTGTTATTCCATTTGATTCCCTAAGTGAATTTCTTGTAAACCTGATTTTTTTTTTTTTTACTACTACTTGTATATGGTACTTAAAAAATATCAAGTTTAAAGTGAAAAAACATGCAAGCCACATATTTTAGCTGAAATGAAGAGAGAAGATTGTATCTGTGATATAAATGTATACGCCAACGGATCGCAGCATCAATTTAACTACAATTAAATAAGAATTATAATAAATTAAATACTCTTCATTAGTAGTTAACACAGGTCAATTTTTATTTGAGGCTGAACAATTCAGTTTTTAACACAATAGTGACAGTGTAATATTTACATTAATGTAAAATTGATGGTCATACCTTCATGTTATGTTAATACTCTTAAAAAAAAAAATAATTTAAACTTTTCGACAGTTTAAAATCATCACCGATGACGTCTGAATGATAATTATTTTTGTGCATCCATCTTGAATGTTGAAACATCATTTAAAAACTTACGGAACCACACATTAATTAAAATACAGGAAATTAAATTTTCCCAAGAAGAAGCCATGAAGGTTTCATGATGCGAATAAATGGAAAACGGCGTGTGACCATTTTTTGACACGAATAATATTAAGTGAAATAGTGATGAGAGTTCTCTTCAGCTATGATGTAACTTTAACGGGAATGATACATATATATTTTTAAATACTATCGAAATGTAATAGGAAATGTATCCACATTCAAAAATTCTTGATCCGTCTATAATACCCTCTAAAGAAGTCTTGAATTTGTATTAAGATAGAAATGATAATATTAACAATATAAATTTTAGGTAATAATAACAGCTGATAACATTGATGTAGCCCTTAAAAATATCAGTCCTGTATTTTCTCATTATATTTTAGCGTGCAACTTCTAAATAGATTCTGTTCACAAAGCATATTCAATATTTTATTAATGTTTTCAGTTAAGTTTGATCTCTTCCTCAAATTACTTGCCTGATGTATATATATTTTTTTCAACTACTAAGCCACACAATGAAGTAGTGGTCAAGAGATGATTATCCCATGTTGAATTATACATAAATTATAAACCAACTAACAAAGATATATGTTAGCAAAACAATATTTTATGCATCAATTGAAGAAAAAAACAAAACAATTGATTCCTCGTTATTGTGTCATTTAATTTCAAAATATTGAGTAGAAAGGTTGGAATAAATATAAAATGCTTTATCATTTACTTTATTGGTAAACTATGTAAAATATCATTCTAAAATTATATTGTAAATGTAAATAATTAAGTACATATGAATATATAATATAATAATAATTGTTTAAGAAACTAAATCTATGCGAATATAACAAGTAAGATTTAACTAGTTATACCATGACTTGTGTATGATTTAGGAAACGATACAAAAATTAGATCTTAATAGATGTATGATAAATTTTATATGTGTAAATGAAATATATATAAATATATATAAATGACATATGCTATATATAGTCTTTCTCGGCAGAAGCATTCAATTAACTTTAACAGTATCCATTGTAGTGGTACAGAAATATACTCTTTAATGTAACAAAGATAGTGTTATCTACGAACGTTTCTGACGATTTAGACTAGTGTTTATATAGGCTGTAATTTATGTGTAAATCGTAGAGTTTGCTTTCATGGTAGTGTAATTATGTAAAATATTATAAATGAATAAAACATATTATATACTATTAACTGTTTGTATATAACCCGCAATCATAACTGATTAATGACTTAAATAATAACATTTACACAATTTCATATGGATAAATATATTGAAGAGAAGGATAGTTGGGGTTTTTAGTCAAAATAGAAATGGCAAAAATAAATAATAGTATTTATTTTAACATTTTTATTTTGACTGATCACCCCAACTATCTTTCTCATCATTATTCACTACAGTCAACCCACAATTATGAATAAATATATTTTTGTGATCTAAACAGTTTACATTGCTTCAAAAAGTTAAGGAAATTTTCATTATATTGTTTCTATGCAAATTAAGAAAAGTATATACTTTGTCCAGAAACCTTGGTTAGTTGAAACAGCCGGATTTTTTAATTTATCTTAGGGTTAGCATGATTTAAACACTGGACCTATTAAATTATTAAATCTTAAATGCCAACTTTATTCAAATATCTTTTACCACTACAACCCATGAAGGGTCTGGGGTTCAGTACTATTTAGGGAAAGCACTGTTTCTAGGTCAACGGTTGTGCAAGGAGGTGATTTGAACGAGATCACGCTCAACCACTGAGCCACCCCACTCCACACTTCATATATATATATATATATATATATATATATATATATATAATGTTTACGCAGTTGTTTGTAAAAAAATGTTCCCATCAAAAATTGGGAGGTGTAAGATGAGGATAAGTTTTGAAATTTTCCTGGTCCCTGTGAATGGATTTAAGGACTGAAAGTTTTATGAGAACTTCTTCAACAATACCATGAGTTTTTTCTTCAAAGGGATGAAACATGGGTTTTCCCAAAAAATTGTCGTTTTCGTCATCTTACTCCAGCTATGGTATCTTTCACTGTCATTATTCCCCATCACTCCATTGACCAACATAAAATTTATCAGTAACCGCAACTGCTGTGAAAGAAATGGGTCACCTATGAGTTTTTGTTATAATAGAGTTGTACATTCAGAAAATTTTAGTGAGAAAGTTGAAAAACCTACCTTTGACTACTAAGTCTCGTTTATCGCTGAATGGAGTATAAAACTATAGTTCAGATTAAATTATAATCACAAAATACAATATAATTAAGTCACAATTTTTGCATACAAAAATAAATAATACTGTATTAATGTAATGTAAAAAAAAATAACACTAAACAAAAATAAACATTTAATGGTTTATTAACGATATTTTAATTGATGGGTGTTCGTCTTTCACCTAGGAATGGTATTAATTAATCTGTGAGCTGCAGATTAACTGATAAACAACCTGTTTATCAAGCATATTTTAACTATGACAAAATGAAATAATTTCATATTATTTATAAAAAGAAAGAACTTTTGGTTTCCATCCAATATAACTTGACAAATTGGTGATAATAAATTTCTTATTTCACAAGATAAAAATGTCTTAATTGAATTTTTTTTCGTACGTGATAATACTTTTAGCGATGAATGTCTTATTTTTTTCCTTGATACGTGGATGCATTAGTAGCTGCATATACATTATAATTTAAAAAGCGAATGTATTCTGATAGTTGGAAGTATTTAACTTTGGTTACAAACATAAACAAATATAATTTTTTTTTTTTTGTGCGTTGGAAAGCTTTAGCCTTGTGGTATTTACCTAGAAAAATATTTAGCCTCTATTACCTTTTATTAACCGAATTATACAATACTTCTAATTTCATTTGTGTGCAGACGAGGGATAAATACAATATATAGGGTTAACTTGGGGGCTGTAGAAAATAAGTGACGTAAGACACGATTGAACGCAATCATTGAGTGAAAGCACTGCTTTCATTTATTTAATTTTATATATTTCTTTACCCCAACAGAATCCTCATTCAGTTTAAAAACAATGTTGTAAACCTCGAAACTGCATGTGATCTAAGAGCTAAACTGTAATAACAAAATACCTCGAATTATGTCAAAATCCATCTAAATTTTATATCTTCCTCTTGAAACAGCTCCTGAAATGTCTTGATTCATTCTCCCGAGGTATCCATATTAGTCCAGTCAATTAATGCTCGAAGAAGGGCTATAGAAGGAAATGTCGGGGACAAAATTTTAGACTTGGGGAGATTGTTTGGACTCGTAAGGAGGTTAACATACTAAAAGCCCCCACTTCTAGGTGGTAAGCCAGATGTGGGGAACGCCTAGAAGTTCACTTTTCTCGGGTTTTCGCTTATATCAGGAAAACTATTCATCGCATTGACAAAAACGTTCTATACAAAATTAAAGCTGGTAAAATTGGAAATATGATTGATTATATACCTTTTTTCGCTACATCGCTTAGTTTCCGAGATATTCTTCCGCAACTATTGCTAATTTGAGAAAAAAAATTCATGAGTAAGAAAATTAACAATTAAATTTTTTTCAAGAATATTATATATTATTTTACTAGTATATCTTTAACGCTTCAAACGTTATATCAGTTATAACTTTGTATGTCAATTCCGAGAAGTCTCAGACTTTTTTTTTTTTTTTTTTTTGAGATTCCTTGTTTTTGGGTTGTTAGGAAAATAGTGGAGGATTTCGAATATCCTTTAAAATACACCTATATATAACAAACTGTTAATGTTTACTGAATTATTCATTTGTATGAATGTCAACACTTATTAATCCTCTTCCAAACGATAATGTTTGTTTGCCTCTGTGGCATTTCGTTGCTTAGAAATAATTCAGTCTTTACCAATACGTCAATGCTTGATTTTCGTATAATTTTGTTTTACGAGTTTAAAATCGGTCGGAATGGGGCCCAGGCGGCCAGAAACATCAATCGAGTCTGGGGCGAGAGCAGCATAAATGAGTGCAGTGTTCAACAATTTCGGGAGGGATACTTTAGCCTTGAAGACAAAGAAGCAATTTAGCCTTGAAGTCAAAGAAGTAAATTAATCTTAGCAAATCGACCGTCGATGACCACCTCAAGGCGATTGGAAAGATAAAAAAGCTTGAAGGTTGGATTCCACACACATTAAACGACCGCCAAAAAATCAGCATTATGAAGTTTGTGCTACACTTCTTTGCCGAAACAAAAACGACCCTTTTCTGTTCAGAATTGTTACTTGCGATGAAAAGTGGATACTTTACGATGACCGTAGATGTTCTGCACAGTAGCTCAACAAAGGAGAAGCAGCAGAACATTTTCCAAAGCCCCCTACACATAAAAAAAAAAGTGATGGTTACTGTTTGGTGGGCTTCATTTGGTTTAATATACTACAGCTTCTTAAGTCATTCATTTTAGATAACATTCATTCAAGATAACATTCATTTTGCTATCGCCATGTTAATTTGTGTTGGCAATCAGTAAAAGTAACGCACATATCCAGTAAAGAGTTCCATTTGTATTAACAATGCT